CATAACAAGGGGCCAGATGTTGCTCTATTACACTGATTTCTTTGGAGTTGCACCAGATTTACACTGGAGTAACTAAGAGCTGAATTTGGCTTTGTGTGCGTCCATCAGAAACATCATTTCTTCTTTTGTATTAAGAACATGTCTGTGTTAGAAATGCAGTTTCCTTTACTCTTCCATGACCAGAAACAATGTTTCTGTGTTCGGTTGATGCCCTATCGCTAACTTGCATTTCTGTCAATTTCACCTAGACACATTTATTACAAATAGCAGTTGGCAGGACAGACTGCAGTAATTGGGGTCCCTTCTGCTTTATATATTCACGCACAGCTTCCATTGACACTATGCAGCCATGTGGAGAAAGTAAGACTGCTGTAGACATGGTAAAATTAAATCTGGATCCTACCATTTATAGAGATCAATGGGGGTCAGTAGTACAGAATTTATGCAGTATGCATCTATCTAATGCAAACAACCAAACAAAAACTCTGCAGCAGATCTAGCAGTAGGCAGAAATCTGCACTCCTTCTGCACGTGTTCACTGCCCCACCAATCACTACTCTAACTTCTCCTCCCACATAAAGAAGACAACCCCATTTCTATAAGGGGAGTTGCCCCCTTGTAATTGAGAGGAGAATTTGGTACTCTGATCAGCTGACTAGGTGTCTTAGAGGCTGGTTTAGGGTTGCAATTTTGGATTTTTTTTTAATTTGGTCTGTTTATTTTTTTTGCATTTGGTGAAAATTATTTATGTTAGGTAAATATGTATGACCGTAGGGTCTGAGTTATTTACACAGTGTTGCTAGCTCTCACAATTTTATTGTGAGTCTTTGTGGTAATTGGCATTTTTCGTAAAGCCCCAGCTCCTGGATTCCTGTGATTAGGTGACAGTCTAGGCTTTCATTCTTTAAAACAGTTAGTTTCTTCTAGCCGTTGTGACTGTGTAGAAAAGCTTAGTAACTTAAAACCCCAGTGCATACGAAAGGCTCAAAAACCAGAAACCAAAGAAAAAAGAACCCAGCATGTATTTTAAGCCAATTTCATTATCTTGGGGGCCTGACTCATGCTTTTTGAACATTTTGGCCTGTCAATACTGTGATGAACTCTATAAATAAATGAATCAATAGGAAATAATTTTCTAAAATATGTCTAGTTATGTGTCACTTACATGGTTGCAGGTTTAAATCATACTAAAAATACCTAGCTCTCCTATAGCTGTATTTGTAGGTATCGTCCCACCCACCTTCCTGCATGGTGCTTATCAGAAATGACATAGTGGATAGTTCTCTGAAAACATCCACTCCATGTGCAGCGGCAGTCAAAAAAGCGAACAGAATGCTGGGAATAATTAAGAAAGGGGTAGCTAATAGGACAGAAAATATCATATTGCCTCTTTATAAATCCATGGTACGCTCACATCTTGAATACTGTGTGCAGATGTGGTCACCCCATCTCAAAAAAGATATATTGGAATTGGAAAAGGTTCAGAAAAGGGCAACAAAAATTATTAGGGATATGGAACGGCTTCCGTATGAGGAGAGATTAATAAGACTGGGACTTTTCAGCTTGGAAAAGAGATGGCTAAAAGGAGATATGATTGAGGTCTCTAAAATCATGACTGGTGTAGAGAAAGTAGATAAGGACGTGTTGTTTACTACTTCTCATAACATAAGAACTAGGGGTCACCAAATGAAATTAATCGGCAGCAGGTTTAAAACAAATAAAAGGAATTATTTCTTCACACAACGCACAGTCAACCTGTGGAACTCCTTGCCAGAGGATGTTGTGAAGGCCAAGAACAAAACAGGTCTCAAAAAAGAACTAGATAAATTAATGGAGGATAGGTTCATCAATGGCTATTAGCCAGGATGGGCAGGAATGGTGTCCCTAGCCTCTGTTTGCCAGAAGCTGGGAATGGGCGACAGGGGCTGGATCACTTGATGATTACCTGTTCTGTTCATTCCCTCTGGGACCCCTGGCATTGGCCACTGTCTGAAGGCAGGATACTGGGCTAGATGGACCTTTGGTCTGACCCAGTCTGGCCGTTCTTATGACAGCAGAGGGGACCATTTTCTGCTGCCAAGAGCTAATTGTAATTTGCTGACCCCAGAAATATCTATAAAACAACATTCATGGGGGCCTGAATCAAACCTTTTTGAAGCCAATGGAGGCCTTCTAGTCTATTCGATTTGTTTTCTCATCTCCTTCACCCCACTCCTGTTGTTTGTTTTTCATCCACCTGTTACAGCTTCTCTTTGAGCTCCTAAGCTCCTAAGCGGGAAGGGCCCGCCATGTATTGTATGCTTGTGCCGCACCTAGCACAATGCAGCCTAATCTGGCTGTGACTTTTAGGTGCTACCACGATACAAGTGATTCATAGTAATAATCCCTTGAATGGACTTTGGGTCAGCCCCACAGAAAGTCCTGGCTTTCCCCTCATACACCCTTCCTCTGCCCCTTACCCATGTCCCCTCTTGGTGTCCTGGAGCTCCGCCTGGATGGTTTCTAAATCACAGCGGTCTCTGGGAGTCTAAGCACGGTCTCGGATCACTACCTGCGACCCCGAGGGAAGATTGTGTATCAGGATTTGGCCCTAAATATCTAGAGTCAATTGCACAAGCAAACCCCACAAAGCAAGGGGCTGCTGCCGCCAATCACACCCCAACCTGCGCCCTGAGGTCAGGGCAGCGTGTTAGAAATACAGTAGCTGGGCAGGACATCCGGTCCTGACCCCAGCGCTTGTAACTTCGGGGCTCACCCCTCCAGTGTGATAATGTGTCTTTCATCACCAATTCCGCCCCCTGCCTAGGCTGGGAAATCAACTAGAGGCTGAGGCAGCATCCACCCCTGAAACGTCAGATTCCAGCCTCGTTTACACCACTGCAAATCCGGAGTGACTCCCCTGCGGCCAGGGCAGTACCCGGAGCTCGCTCGGACGGAGACAGCAGGAGTGCGCTTGTCAAGGGTGATCTCGGAGTCTCCTGGGGAGGGGGCGGAGAACTCCGGCTCCCCGTAGAGCCGCCGCGGGTGCCCAGAGAGGCAGCGTCCGCCCCCCCCCCCCCGCCAGTGTCACGGAGGGGGCGCCTCTGGGGCTAGCAGCCGGGCTGCCGTGTGGCAGAGCAGGAGCTTAGCCCCGGCCTGCCCTGGCCTCCCTCAGCACGGGCCGAGCTCCCTCCAGCCGCAGCCTCTGCAGCCCTGCACCGGGCGTGGCTGGGCGCCTGCTCCCCCGGGCTGCGAGGGCCGCTCTGCTCTGCGCACGCTCTGCTGGGGGGAGGGGGGGCAGCTCTTTCACCTGTCCCCCCACCCCCAGTGCGAAAGCGGCCACGCTCCGGCGGTTCCAGCCCTTGCGCCTCTGGGTGCGAGCTGCCCAGCCCTCCTTGGGGGCACCCCGAACGCAGAGGGGTCCCGCCCCAGAGCCATGGACCAGGGCTGGGCCCTGGGTCACCCTCCGACCCCTGGGCTCAATGGGCTGGGGTGGGGGTTTCCTCTCTGGACGCTGGGGGTGCGCTGGCAGGGGGGGGTCTCCCGCTCCATTCCCACGCTCCCCACCCCCCGCGGCTCTGCGCTCTGACCACAAGCCCCGAGAGCTGGGAACGACACACGGACACTGGTCCCCTTCCCCGGGGAAAGGCACTTCGGTGACCCCGGGGATCCGGGCTCCCCAGCCTGCCAGGAGCTTGCCCACCACAAGCAGCGGCCGGGGTGGGGGAAGAAAGCAAGCCGGGAGGTTAGCCTCCCCGAGGAGCGGCTTGTGTCCAACGCTGGGTTCCGCCGGCCACAATTGCTGTGGGGGCCTGGGGCGGGGTGAGTTCAGCAAGCGGGTGGTAAAATGTTGTAGGGCATTTGGTGTGTGAAATAAAGGGCATAGTTTGGGGGGCTCTATCTATCCCCATACATCCCTCCGATCGATCGATCTAGTCTCATGCACCCTATCTATCTATCTATCTATCTATCTATCTATCTATCTATCTATCT